CAGCCCCAGCCCCAGCCCCACCTCAGCCTCAGCCTCAGCCTCACAGTCCCCAACAGCAGGGCTGTGGGAGGATCGTGAGACAAAGCATGAGAGCCCTTGGCCCAGTGCCTGGCAGAGCAGGCGTCTAACAAAAATGACTAAAATACCCAAGTCAAGCGTCAGGAGGAAAGGCTGGACGGAGCTCTCATCCTGCGGGCGCGGAATTCTGTCGCAGCGCAGGGGCGTCTGCTGACCCCTGTTCCTTCCCCTGCACGCCCACCACATCCCGTGTTTACAGCACAAGCCGGGCTCTATTGTTCCCTGTGGGTCTCAGGGCTCTTGTCCCTTTTCCTCCACAGCCTCTCAAGTCCTTTTTGTTGGGCCTCACAGCTCCCTGGCTCCATGATGACAGCTGACTTTCCCTGTCATTGTAGAAAGTATATTCTGAATCCAAAAATGCCTCAATATGGTTGACCAACCGAAAGCTGAGAACACAAGGGTTGCTTCAATCCTCAGGGGAGCCATATGGCATCCAGTGTGCCTGGTCCCAGACTGAGCCAACAGCACCCCTGAAATGTGCCTGATCATGACCTCAGACTGAATCTCTAATCCCCAAGTGCTCCCCTAAGTGCCAATCCTGGGCTCAGCAGAAGAGAAGGGAGGGCTCAGCTGCCCAAAGCCCAGAGTGGAGGGCACAGGCGAGGACTTCTGCCCAGGGATCGGTCTGGATTGGGTTGGGGTGCATGTGCTAGCCCGGGTGGTGCTAACTACATGCCCTTGCACTCTGCCAGACCCCTGCCAGAACCACCACTGCAAGCACGGCAAGGTATGCGAGCTGGATGAGAGCAACACCCCCATGTGCGTGTGCCAGGACCCCACCAGCTGCCCTGCCCCCATCGGCGAGTTTGAGAAGGTGAGCACTGAGGGGCGAGGCGGGGGGCTGGGGGATTGGGCCCAGAAAACTGTTGGTGGTTCTACTGAGCAGCTCTAGTCTCAAAAGTCCCCTCACTAGATCTAGTCACAGCTGGATCATAGGGGAGTGAGACACAGGCAGAGTCTGAAGGAACCGAGGATTAGGCTTGCTTTCTCTCTCCCCACCCCATGACGGGTCTCCTCCTCTATCCCCAGCTACAAAAATGTAGCCACAAGTGAGTAATGTTTCTGCCCAAGTTAGCCCATTAGACTCAGCACCCAAAGTTTTCACTGAGGGCTGTTCACGGGGGCACTCCCTGCCTAGCATGTACCCAAATTCCAGCCTCCCAGAGGAAAGCAGATGCCCAGCCTAGACCATATTGTTTGCACAAGCAGTCTCGACACAGTGAGCCACCTTCATCATTTGTGGAAAGTTTTGGAACAGTGCAGGGGCCTGTTTACCAGCCACCTTCCCAGGTGCCAGTCAAGCGCCGATCTTATAAGCATGCCTTTCTAAGGATCACAGCCCCAGGCCCGCTGTTAACTCTTCCCCACACGCTGCCTTTTCGCCATCCCCATCTTTGACTCGCCCCATCCCAGTTTTCCCGTATCTCAGCCCCGACTCAGTCGCGCCTCTGCTCAGAAAGCGACAGTGGCTCTCAGCATGGGCTGAACGTTGGCCCGGGAGCCTAAAGGCTGTGTTCCTGTCACAGCCCCACGGTTAACTCGCTGTGAATCCTTGGACTGATCACATTCCTAGCTTGGCCTCAGTGTCCCATCTCTGAAATAGGCGAGGCGGGCGGTGCCAGTGACGGGCTTTGGGAACGAAGGCGAGGTGCTCTCTGCTTCGCCAACAGGTGTGCAGCAACGACAACAAGACCTTTGACTCTTCCTGCCACTTCTTTGCCACCAAGTGCACCCTGGAGGGCACCAAGAAGGGCCACAAACTCCACCTGGACTACATCGGGCCCTGCAAATGTGAGTCTCCTGGGGCCCTCCGGCCTCCCATTTTGGGGAGAGAGCGCTGAGCCTCGGGGTTTCTATTTATAAAGTGAGATGACTGTCCCTTAGTGGTTTCCTCTCAGCCCTGCGTTCAGGACATCTCCCGGGAAGGACTGGGCAGTTGTGGAAGCACAAGAGCAGGGAGAATGTCTTTTCTCTAAGGATGAGGAAGTTCTTTTATAGGGCTAGCTCAAGTCTTTCCTGCTTCAGCATTGTAAAGCAAGACTGTTCCACCTGGGACCATAAAGTGTTTTTAAAATATTTGAATTTGAATGCTTTAAACTAGGGGTACGCCTGTTGATTCCCCTTGGGCCACTGGTACTCAGTATTGTCAGACCCTTGGCCCTCTTGCTCCATTACGTTTCCATCTGCCTGCTTAAGACACATGATTAACCACCCTTTTCTAGAAACCTGGGAGCCAGGTGTTTGGGGGAAGAAATGCCAGGATGCTGTCTGGCCTTTTGTTAGTGATGCCAGGTGTCGATTCAGTTGGCCCAGCTGCCTCCCTCAGCATTGGCAGCTTCCCTATCATCTGAAACACCCAAGACCACATCTGCTCCCCTCTAAGACCAAATCCATGTTACGTGTCTGGTACATTCTGGCACCAGATGGCACTGGAGAGAGCCATTCACTTGCCTCAGGTATGCAGAGTGCAGCAAGGAGGAGGGGAAACCAGGTTCTCCTGTGGTCAGCCCTACCCCCCCAGTTAGGGGGCCCAGGGTGTGAAATAAGAAGGCACAGGCCTGGACAAGGGGGGCTGGGGGAGGAATGTTGGTAGTTCTTGGGCAGTGAGACTGAGGAGTGTGCCCAGGAGCCTTTTACCAAGTGGCTCTTGCTGTCCTCTGGGGCCTCTTGCTCACTCACTCCAGCTCCTAGCGTTTCTATCACAGAGCTTCTCTTCTGCTCCCCAGCTGCTGGTGAAGACAGTGGTCCTAACCACAGAGCGGGCTTGCCGTAGGTCCAAGGACGAGGGAGGGACAGGCCCCTGGGCCCTCACGTGCCCTGGATGCTGGATGAGGCTCTGAGAATGTGGTCTTGAGCAAGTCCCTTCTCCATGCTGACCTCCAATAAGCCCCATAAGAAGGTAGACTTGGATGAAATCTCCAGGTCCAGCAATCTGGGATTCTAAGTTCCAAAGACCAGGACAGAAAAATGATCACTGAGCATGTTCTGGTGGCTAAACATTCCTTACACCCACTCCCCACAGCGCTGCTAAGCTGGGCCTACGGACAGATGTTATTCCCCAGCCTCCCAGCTTCAAACACCTCCCAGTGATTGACATCACCAGCATGGGTCCTGGCCCACCCCCCAGAAAGGTGCAGGAGCTGCTGGAGTGAGCCATTCCTCTCGGCAGATCAAGGCCAAGGCCAAGGCCAAGGCCAAGGCAGCAGCGGATGTGCCTCTGAGCCTTTCTGTTGCAGAGTGTTCTTTCCCACACGCAATCTCCTTTGCTCATGTGGCGTGAATAAACTGCTCTAGAGGGACTGAGCCACTGCGCCAAGCTCATTGATCGTAGCAGCTGCAGGATGAAGGCATGGGGTGGGGAGAGTGGCCCGGCCAGCCTGTTGGCCCCAGGCAGGGAAAGTTGGAGTCTGTGCTGACCGCCCTTGCATTTTGGACCCTAGACATCCCCCCTTGCCTGGACTCCGAGCTGACTGAATTCCCCCTGCGCATGCGGGACTGGCTCAAGAACGTCCTGGTCACTCTGTACGAGAGGGATGAAGACAACAACCTCCTGACCGAGAAGCAGAAGCTGCGGGTAAGGGGTCTCTTTGCAGGACACCTGCCTGGCCCCGGGCTGTCTGAGATCCACGGTCCCAGTCTCAGGACTAGGCAGCCAAGCGTAACCCTAGATCCCTGCTCTGACAAGTGCCTTCATCCTGGGCACTACACAGACTTTTCCTCACTGCCTGTGGAGGTTTATAGTGCACAGTCACATCTTAAAGGCTCTGAGAAGTCCTGTAATAAAGAAACCTGGTGCTCACTTTGTTTAGCTCAGTGTTAAACAAGAGGCACAAACAACCCTATTACTTTTTCCTTCTGAGTGTGTGGATCTTAAACTTGAATGGACATATTAAGCATTTGGAGTATTGATGAAATGCGGGTCCCCGGGCCCCATCCAGGCCTACTGGACCAGTCTCTGTGAAGCAAGGCCCCCACAGGTCATTCCGATGCGACAGCTCTATGAAGAACCCTTTGCAATCCTACCAGGCCTCCACTTTTGTGGATGAGATGCTGTACCCCGTCTATGCCACTTCCTTCCCTCATTTTGAACCTTGGGCTTGGCTGATCGCCGCCTGCTCTCGCTTCCCGCCAGGGGTGGGCGGGACCCTGTCTGGCCTGGACAGTCTCCCTAGACCCTGTGTCACTCAGTGTCTCTGCTCCCCCAGGTGAAGAAGATCCACGAGAACGAGAAGCGCCTGGAGGCTGGAGACCACCCCGTGGAGCTGCTGGCCCGGGACTTCGAGAAGAACTACAACATGTACATCTTCCCTGTGCACTGGCAGTTCGGCCAGCTGGACCAGCACCCCATTGACGGGTAAGTGCCAGGCCCTCAGGAGCAGAGGGCTGGCTGCTCTGGCGTGGTCCCGGAGTGCACAGTCATGGGTCAGAGCTGGTAGGTGCACTAGGTATGGCCGAAAAATCCTCTCAGTAAACTCTGGTGTCCCAGCCCTGGAGCCCACAGTGTGCCCTGGGGCTGGGCCAGGAAGGAGCAGGCGTCCTGAGAAAGGATACAGAGCTGGGAGGAAGAAAGCCACAGGCACTCCTCAAGCCAGGAGAGGCGGAGCCTGACAATCCTTCCTTAGCCGAGTGAGTGTTGGCCTTGGGGATCCATTTGCTGAGGGACAGTCAGCTAGAAGCAGTGCCAGACTCCAAAAGGGGTGGCCCGAGCTGAGGTGGGGCAGCCTGTATGCCCACAGCCCTTCAGCAAGACCCTGAGACCCAGCCCCACAGGGCAAACTGGCCCTGGGGGGTCTTAGCCAGTTCCATCCACACTGCAAGCCCCAGGGGGTTATGAAGGGCTGTGCAACTGCACCGGCAGGCAGTGGGCCGGTGAACGTGATACTGAGCGTCTATTACGCGCCCAGCACTATTCTGGGCAGGGGATTTAACAGTAATCAGAACTGACACGGCCCTTGCCCCCATGGAGCTCACGCTCAGGGTGATGATCTGTATCTCACAATTGAAGGAAAAACTTGAAAAGTCCCTTGGAAGGTACAGGTGGTGCTTGACCACCTGCGGCCGGGCCGGGGCTGTCACCTGCACCGAAGCCTTCCGGCCCTCCCTTGCTCTGTTCCTGGGGAAGCATGGAGAGGAGGGCACCCTCCTCACATGCCTGGGGAGCTCACTGTGCCCAGGGATGCTTGTCTCCGGGAGGCTCACCCCTCGCTCCGGCTCCAGCCCTTGTGCCTGGAGCCTGCCCACCGCGTGTCGGTGATCTCGGGTGGCTGGGGTGTCCTGAGCCCTGGGAAACTCCCTGCTTGTTCTCTCCCAGGCTCTTTCCATGGCTGGGATCCAGCTTCGTCACTCACTGCGGGAGGGAGGGGAAAGTCAGGGGGACATCTGGAGCTCAGGCGGAGCAACTGGATCCTACCACAAGGAAGGCGCCGGGAGGGAGGCTTCCAGATGGGGCTGCAAGGACTATGAATCTGGAAGAGCGGTCTAGCCGGGGCCAGGGACCCATCCTCCCCTCTCCTTGTCCCAGAGCTGCGAGTGACCTTGCCTAAGTCCCGACCCCTCCCTGTGCCTAAGTTTTCCCACCTGTATGCAACGAAAGGGGAGAGGGATGTTCCTTCCAGTTCAAATGCTGTGATTCCTTCCATGAGTTGGGTGGGGCAGTGAGGGTCTGGGGATTGGAGAGAAAATTGCAGCCATGTTGCAGCCCCTTAGGAAGAGTATGTTGAGGACAACTAGTTAGGGCTCTGAGGAACAGGGAAATAAATCATACATAGCCCTGGAGTCAAGACCAGCTGGAAGAACAGGAACGGAGGACCGGGGAGAGGAACCAGGCCTCCCTCTCCCATGATACATGCTATACGAAAAAATCAGAGCTCTGTGTGGAAGGTTAGAGCGCCCCCTGACCCTCCTTGCCAACCCCAGTCCCCCCCCAGAAGTCAGCACTGTCTCTTTTCTGTGCATTTGCAGCTGTAGAAATGTGTGTCCTTAGGAAACTCTCATGCTTCCTACCAGATTTTGACCCACCAATAGCTGAGGTATTGAATATTTTCATTAGAAGTTTCTGTGCCCCCAACTCTTAGCCAATTAGGAAACAATGAAATGGGCCAAGAGACCTTTGTTATGAGCCCATGGGACCTCAGAACTGCAAGGGCCCTAGACATTTCCCCTTTTTGATGGAGGGGTTTTTCATGGGGCGGTGCTACGCTGTACGGCCCACAGCAGGTCGGTGGCTTTCCCATGCCTCAGGCCTTCCCCTCCTCGCCCCGCAGGTACCTGTCCCACACTGAGCTGGCCCCGCTGCGTGCACCCCTCATCCCCATGGAGCACTGCACCACCCGCTTCTTCGAGACCTGCGACCTGGACAACGACAAATACATCGCCCTGGATGAGTGGGCCGGCTGCTTCGGCATCAAGGAGAGTGAGTGTCTGAGCAGAGGGGCTGCTGTCCCCTGCCCCCCTCCTCTTCTCTGTCATCTGTGTGTCTGTCCTCTCTCCCCAGCTCTGGCCTCTCTGCCTAGTTAACTCCTGTCTGCTCTCCCTGTCGGGTGAGCCTCGCTCTCAGGCGGCTTCCCGATCCTGCCCTGGCCACCAGGCTGTCTCTCTTTCCCTTCCTCGAGCATTAGCGCTCACTCTGTGCCTCACACTATTCGGGAACTGGCAGCTACCCATCGGGGAAAGAGGAGATGTAACGCGGCAGGGTGTGTAAGCGACAGGGACAGGGAGACCAGAGATCTCAGTCACCGACTTCCTGGGTGACCCTGGGCCCGGGGATGGGTGGGATCCCCGCCTCCTGACACGGGACCCCGTGTCTAACGCCACTCTTTCCTGTTTGCAGAGGATATCGACAAGGACCTGGTGATCTGAACCCACCCCTCCCGCAGTACCGGACTCTCTTTAACCCTCCCTCCCTGTTCCCCCCCATGTTTAAAATGTTTGGATGGTCTATTGTTCTGCCTGGGGACAAGGTGCTAATATAGATTTAAACGAACACATTAACGGTGCTAAAAACGGAAATTGTAACCAAGTCACGACGTTCTTAGTGGTAACTGCCTCTTGCTCACCCACTAACGCCCCATCCTCTCTTCTCCGGCCACTTGAGGCCCTGCCCGTCGCCTTAGCGGCAGGCGGGTGGGAGCTCTGATCTGTTCACGTCTGCCTTCAACACATTGCATCTTCGCATTTGCTCTCCATTTCTCTGTTTCAAATTAATGCTCACCAAGTCAGACTTTCGTGTTAATTTTATTTCAGGGGGTCGGCTGCCAGTGGGGTGGGGGTCTCCCCCATGTGGCCAGAAGGTGGACAAAGGGAAGTAACAGACACGCGATGTTGGCAAGAATGTTTCTGGGACTAGAGGAGCAGAGGTGGGAGAACCCCCTGGGAAACTCACCAACCAGAACAGCAGATAACCAGTCTTGGTTGCCCGGGGCTGAACGGAAAGGACCCGGGGCTATGCTCAAAAGTATATAAGCTCTCGCTTAAACCAGTTCCTCACCATTTCCCCCCATCTTTCAGTGCCTTTTTTTTCTTCAAAAAGGGAGCTTTGAAGAAAAACTTTAGGGAGCCGTGGATCATCAGTTCTCTGGAATCCACCAGGCCTCTGGGGGGTGGATCCCCACGTCCACAGGGCCTCTCCCCTCCTAACTGTCCGGGAGAGGCAGGGCTGGGAGGCTGTTCCAGCCAGGAAAGCCACAATTAAGAGTGCGGTGTAGAAAGTTGTAAAGTAGAAAAAATGGTTAGTGAATTGGTTTTGTTTTCTGAGGTGTTTTTTTTCCTGTTTTTCCCCATTTTTGGATAGCTGTCACGAGGGGTCTTTCCCTCAGTTTCTAGCATGTTTCTCTTTTCCTCCCCTCCCCCACTTTTCCTTCTACTAATCAAAAGAAACTTCCAAGTCAATGGATGGTCAGGTCTCACAGGCTGAGAACTCGTTCACCTCCAAGCATTTCATGAAAAAGCTGCTTCTTATTAATCATGCAAACTCTCGCCTCGATGCGGAGAGTTTGACAAATCTTTCAAAATAAAAGTAACGACTTAGAAACTGCCTTCCGGAGTGATTGTCATGTGTCTCAGCCACCTTGTCACCCTGACATGCAGACTGTGGACATACGTGTGTACACCTGACTGCACAAATGCCAACTTGCAAACACACTATTATGCTTTTCAGCACACACACCTGCACACACACATGCTTACTCATGCACAGGGAATGTACGGTTCCTCTAAGTATGAATCTGTCTTATTTTTATGACTTGTGGACCGACCCTTTTCATTACAGCACTTCGTTATCAGAAGCACCAGGCTAAGCAACTGTCACCTTTCACTAATTAGTCATTCATTTGTCCATTTATTCCACAAACATGATGCATCTACTAGGTACCAGGTCCTGTGCCAGGTGCTGGAGACACAATTGTCACAAAGCAGACAAAACATTTTTTCTTCTGGAACTTACAGTCTAGGGAGGGATAGATTAAACAATTGCACAGCTAACCACAAATCACACTGTGATAGGTGCCATGATGAAGGAATATAAGAAACCAGGACCGTAACAGAAGGACACAGAATTATTCCAGCTGTTCCATGTGGTAGCCATTCCCCATGCGTGGCTATTTAGATGAAAATTTGAATTGATTAAAATAAAAGCTCAGTTTCTCAGTCACACTGGACACTTCATGTGCCAATAGCTACATGTGGCTGGGGGTTACCCTACGGAATAGGGCAGACGTGAAACATTCTCATCACTGCACAAAATTCTATTGGATATGGCTCTTCAGGGCATCTGGGAAGATTTCTTGAGAAAATTTGAGTTGAGTCAAAAGAAAAAGAAGGAATTAAAGGAGGGGAAAAGCATTCCAGGCAGAGGGAACAGCACATGCACAGGGGTTTTTTTGAGGTAGATGCAGAACACAGTGAGTCTCAAACCAGCATGGCTGGCCCACAAAATATGAGGGGGTGGTCATACTGGATGAAGCTGAAGAGATGGGCGGAGGCCACACCACGCAGCCCATAGGCCATGGTAAGGAGTTTGGATTTTATTTTTTGTGCAACGGAAAGTCTTTGAAGGTTTTTAAGCCAGGAGGGGGTGGGGATTACATTTGCTTTAAGAAAACACTTCAGTTCTGGAAAAATAAGGGCATCATAAGTCCACAAAGCACTTTTCAAAGCTCATGCATGCTCATAATGATGTGATCTTTCAGGCTGGCATCCCAAGACTCCCCTTAGAGAAACAGGCCCAAGATGTGGGCTCCACTACAGTGGGTCACACAGCAGGGTCTTTAGGTGCAAGCTCAGAGTCCCCCCGCCTCTTAAATTGTTTTCAAATTACTAAAATAATACAAATTCCTAAAAATCCAACTGTTTCCTGGTGTTCTTTTTTCTACACAATAGGAGAGAGAGGAACAGGGAGGAACTGGCCACTTTGGTCTTGGCCATTTGTGGGATGCAAACTAGTCTTATAACCTCTAGGATGATCTCTCTCCAGGCAGAGAGAGACGGTAAACTTTGGTATTGGCTTATCATTCATTCTGTGACTTCTCCAGTGCCTGCAATATGCTAGACAGGTCCTGTGTTCTCAGGAGTAAGACAGGCATGGTCCCTGCTGCCCTGGAGCTTTCATTAACAATACCATTTCAGGTAGAAAGCGTGTGCGGTAAAATCATAAAGCACAGAGCTCTCTCGGAACAAGGATTGAACGAGGTGTTCCTCCAGGTCAGGAGGGAGATGCGACATTTGCCCTGAGAAATTTAGGATGCAGCCCTGGTGCCCCGGCCAGCCCAGGGCAGATCATCCGTGCAATGCCCAGCCTCCACTATTCCAACAGCTTTGCTGCCACCCTACAGATGAGGAAACTGAGGTTCAGGGAGGTTGAGTGACTTGGTCATGCAATGGGGCAATGAAAAACGGGGGGGACTAGAACCCACAGCTTTCTCCCCCATATCCAGATGCCTCCTCCTAGGGAGCTCCTCAGAGTTTTCAAGGACTACTTCAAAGAAAGGCATAAAGCATGAGTGAGCCCAGGGTCCCCGAGGGCACCGGAGGGCTGCACCCGTGTGGACTGTGGCAAAACTGGTTAGCTAATTTCACAGGGGCCCTCAGAGCCCAGAATCCTATCTGTGCTTTCCCTCCCTTTAAATCAAATCACTTATTTAAAAAAAATTAAAGGAAACTGTGTCATTACTTTAAGTGGAAAAATCAGCATCATTTTCCACAAATGGAGATAAACCTTAAAGACAAGTACAATAAAAATGTAAATACAATGAAAAGACACTGTTATGCAATTATGAATGTGCCCTGTGCTTGAAGGGTGCTCTGATTCTTGTTACAGGGAGAAATCTAAGAGACTTTCTCTTTGATAACCAGATGACCCAAAACAGAATTGAATTTTGATGAATCCAATGCTAACTCATGCCTAATCTGTAACTCTCCTAAAATCATCCCTCCCTTTCGGCAAGTCCTCTTTACCATGAAGGGGGTGAGGGTCCTTTGCAGATCACCTAGGTCCCTGGTAACAGAAGCCTCCCTCCTTTCCAACATCTGCGGCAGAACCGGATTGAGCCCCGTTAGTCCAATGACCTAACACTGAGCTTGCTCCCTCATCTGTGAAACCCCAATGACAGTGGTCCCTGCCTCATGGGTGGTTGTGTCTGGCAGAGAGGAAGATCATCATCATCATCATCATCATCATCATGATCCCAACTTAAATGTGAGGGGCCTGCTCTTTCCCCACTGCCCGGACTGGCCCCCTCGCAGTTGTAAGGTTTCCTGCGTCAAGGCCGCACTCCCTTTCTGAAGGCCTGTCTCGGTTTTTAGGCTGTGCAGGGCCGCCTGGTGTTTGCACTGGTTACGGGACTGCAAGGGTTAAACATGTCCACCGGGAAAGAGAAAAATCAGGGCCCCCTAAGGCGATAAAGACCCTGGGCAATGATTCAGGGGTCCAGTTTCGAAGACAGACAGCGGCGAGAGCCTGAACAAGCGCCTCCCCCGTCTAGGGGCCCAGCCTCCCCTTCTCAGTCACAGCCCACGAGGAGCTGGATGAGACGGTCCCATCTTCAGAGACTCTCCCGAATTGGTTGTCCTTGGAATGAGTGAAGACCTGGGGCCGGGGAAGGCTCATAACCTGGTTTCCAGGTGGCCCCCCAGAGCCAGAGGGACCAGCTCCCTCCTCGCTGAGCCGCTGGCCCGGGAGTCCGCCGAGGAGGTCAGGACGCCCCCTGGCGGGGACGGGGAGAAGCTCCTAGAGCTGCAGCTGCCTCTGAGCTGACTGAGGGACATCCAAGCCATAAGGACCCATGGAAGTCATCTAACCCAGCCCCTCGTCTTCCAAATGGGGAAACTGAGGTTCCCAGGAGTAGAAGACACGCTGCCAGGTAGGGTTGCCAGATAAAACACAGGACTCCCAATTAAATGTGAATTTTAGATAAACAAAGAAGAATTTTTTTAAAAAAGCACAAGTGTGTTCCAGGCAACATTTAGGACATACTTCCATTAGAAAATTATTCGTTACGTATCTGAAATTCTAACATTTAACCAGGCGTCCTGTCTTTTTCTTTGCTCTGTCTGGCAACTCTGCCTCNGAAAATTATTCGTTAGGTATCTGAAATTCTAACATTTAACCAGGCGTCCTGTCTTTTTCTTTGCTCTGTCTGGCAACTCTGCCTCTACAAAATCTCAGGGCTCTGTGGCAACATATTTGCCAAGGGATATGACTACAAATGTGACTGATACAAGCGGATAAAAAAATGGGGACTGCACAAGTGCCACTGGTGAGATGTGAGTTCACAAGAGGGTGAACAAACCGGTAAAGTTGTAGACAAAGCAAAGTGCAAGCATCCACGGACTTACTGCTCACTCACTGTATCTTACAGCAGTGAGAAACGACAACACACCCACCCAAACAACCATTGATGCGTGTANAAGCCGGTAAAGTTGTAGACAAAGCAAAGTGCAAGCATCCATGGACTTACTGCTCACTCACTATATCTTATAGCAGTGAGAAACGACAACACACCCACCCAAACAACCATTGATGCGTGTAAAGGAGAATTCCACCCAGGCTCAGATCATTATAAACAGGATTCTCCATTTGTTCATTCAAAAGCCACGCGGAGGTGAGGCAGTTCTTCACTGTGCAGGACTGTCTCATGCATTGCAAGGCTTCTAGTCTCTCAGTCCCCACCCACTCACTAAGTGCCAGCTGTGTCCCCACATCGTCAAACTCCACACATCTCCAAAGGACCCCTAGGGGGCGACAGGCCACCACTGAGAACTTCTTTCTTGGCCGTTTACTTTGCTCTACCAGGGACCAGCAGGGGGCCGTCTGATGCAAGAAATGGGAACTCCCGGCCTAGCGCTCACCCTCGAGATCCCGGAGAGCAGCTGGCCTGCCGGTTCCAGATCACAGGGATCATCTGCTCCGCCACACCCCTCCCACACAGCGTTTTACAAGCAGGGGAAACTGAGTCTCAGAGGAAAAGGGCTTTGAGATTTGCTCCGCAGCTATTCTTAGTGGCACAGTCAGAAAAGGAATTCAAGAAGCAGAAGCCCAGAGTCCTACACGGCCATCATCCCTGTGCCCCGAGAAACCACATCCCCAGTTCTTAGCCATAGGGCAGACAGACAGACAGACAGGGGCCCGAGCCCTCCTGTGCCCCAAGGGTGCTGCTGGGCTTAGCAGAGAAGGCAGTGTGCCGGAGGGGAGAGAAGCCAGCAGACCCGGCCCTGGTCTCCACCCAGGTAATGACGGGAGACTACATCGTCCCAACCAAGGTCTTCCTGTCTGTGAGTCCCCGATTTTCCTTTTGTGATGAAAGTAATAACACATGGTAAAAACCTACCTAACAAAAAACTTCAAGCTGTGCGGAAGGGTGTAAAATGAAGTTAAAATGTCTCCTCCTCAGTTCCTATTTTATTTCTTAGAATAAGCTATTAATATTCCTTATATATCTTTCTGGAACTATATTGATATAATATGTAAGGATACAGGTGTGCACATATATATGTATACATACTTTTTGTTATACTGATTGGATTATACTGTATATTTTATG